AAGAACAGAGGTGGCAGGGGCCCCACAAGCTGTTCCCTGGACAATTCTACAAAGGAGGCCAGGGAGCTTCCTCTTAGGGGGCCTTAGGAAGAGTTTCAGGGGTTGGGGTAGCAACCTAGTCCTCAAAGCCTCAGCCACCCTGGTAGCTGAGTTGGCAGAACAGGGTTTGTCCTGTGTAAACCCCCCTCCCCCACCCTCCTGTCGCGGAGCTCCACCGCTTTGTCTTGGTTCCCTTGGCACCATCACATGGGGTGCGGCTGCCCCCTGGTGGCCATGGCAGGAAGGCTTTCCTGGGCTTTGGCCTGGGGTTGCCAGGAACCTCAGTCACCTGCTTTATGTGAGCTTTCTGCCCTTGTCACATTTGACAGAGGGAGAAACTGAGGTTCAGGAGAGCCCCTGAATTGCAGTGTATATGGCTTTCTCTGTCCACAGACTTCTGGATTGCCCCTTAGCTGCAGCAGGCTGCCCTTGAGGGGCACTGCCACAGCCAGAAGCTACAGCATTCACAGTCTGACATTGATCATGAGCAACTTCTGACAGGGAAGAAAGGCCCATCCCTGGGGTTGGGAGGGCTTGGCACTTGCCGATATCCCAGTGCAGGGGCATCAGCACCTCCACTGGCTTTCCTAGATCCTGCAGATGTGAGGATCAGGCCTTGGCCAGCTCCACCCAGATCCACCCAGGCCCTCTGAGCCGGCCTGCCTGCCCGAACCTTCTCTGTTTGATATTTTTTTTTTTTTTTTGAGACAGATGGTGAGTCTTGGTTTTTCACACAAATAGTAGCATCCTACGCCATTCCTTGTCCTCCTGTTCTCACCTGATGTAGCTCTGAGGCTGTTCCCCTGGGTAGAGTGTTGTCATCAAAGCTCACAGCAAGCTCCAACTCCTGAGCTCAAGCGAGTCTCCACCTCCCAAGTAGCTGGACCCACAGGCACCCACTACAACGCCCGGCTATTTTTTGGTTGCAGCTGTCATTGTTGTTTGGCAGCCCTGGCTGGATTCGAACCTGCCACCTTAGGTGTATGTGGCTGGCGCCTTAGCCACTTGAGCCACAGGGGCCGAGCCAGTTTGGCATGTTTATAGTGGGGAGTGGTGCATTGAATGCATGCTGGAGTCAGCCCTCCTGGTTTTAAATGCTGCCTCACCATCTCTGTGACTTGACTTTGTCTCTAAGTCTGTCCTCCACCTGGGAAGCATGTGGACATACACATGGCCAAAATATAATGCCCACCAGTGCCCCCTCTCCTCCCCAGGCCTCTGATTCTCCTGCGGAGGAGAACCACTGTTGACCAGTTTTTTGGAAGTTCTTCCAGAAATGTTCTATGTATATGTATATATGTGTGTGCACAATTTGGTGAGTCTTGGTTTTTCACACAAATAGTAGCATCCTACGCCATTCCTTGTCCTCCTGTTCTCACCTGATGTAGCTCTGAGGCTGTCAGTGTGGATGGATCTGCCTCACCCTGTAAGCTCTGTTTGTCCCCTTGCACTGATACGGCATCAGAGCTCACTGTTGTGTATAATAGGTACACAATGAGTGTACAATAGGTTACACAAACAATGCCACAATGAGTAGTCTTAAGGCATTTCATCAGATACGTACTCAGAAATGCTGAGTCAAAAATAATGTCAATTGGGCGGCGCCTGTGGCTCAGTGGGTAGGGCTCCGTCCCCATATACCAAGGGTGGCGGGTTCGCACCCGGCCCTGGCCAAACTGCAACAAAAAAAAATAGCCAGCCGTTGTGGTGGGCACCTGTAGTCCCAGCTACTTGGGAGGCTGAGGCAAGAGAATCGCCTAAGCCCAAGAGTTGGAGTTGGTGTGAGCTGTGATGTGACAGCACTCTATCGAGGGTGATATAGTGAGACCCTGACTGTAAAATAATAATAATAATAATAATAATAATGTTAATTACTGATACTGCCAAGGTCCCTCCAAAGACACTGTTCCTATTACTTGCTTTCCTGCCCGTAGTGTGGAAGCATGTCTGCTCACACAGGGTGCTGAGGAAACTTTTTGTCTTTGTCAATCTGATAGACAAGAAACAGTCTTAGTTTTAATATGTATTTCTTCTGAAGTTAAAAATTTTATCATGTTCAAAAAGTAGTATTTCCTGTGAACCATGTCCTGCCCACTTTCTACTGTATTGTTCATGTATTGATTTATTGGATTTTTTTTTAATAAGAAGAGAATGGAGCCCTTTCCATGTGTATTATAAATTTGTTTGTCCCTTGCCTTTTGACTTCAGTACTTTATGGCCTCCTCTGTTACATTTAAAACTATACCCAGGGGTGGCACCTGTGACTCAGTGAGTAGGGCGCCAGCCCCCATATACTGAGGATGGCAGGTTCGAACTCGGCCACTGCCAAAAGGCAACAAAAAAAATTGCCAGGCGTTGTGGCGGGCGCCTGTAGTCGCAGCTACTTGGGAGGCTGAGGCAAGAGAATTGCCTACGCCCAAGATTTGGAGGTTGCTGTGAGCTTTGACATTACAGCACTCTACTGAGGGCAACAAATTGAGACTCTGTCTCTAAGAACAAACAAAAACTGTATCTGTACCTGTACCTGGGAGTTTTTATCTGGAATTTGATATAAAGAGATAGGGATACTTCCAGATGGTTACCCAGTTGTCCCAACATTACTACCCAATCCCCAGACTGGAGTGGGGAATCTGTGGCCTTGAACTTCAACTCCCAATAGCTTTATTCCCGAGTGCCCTCCCGTGGTGACTCCAGCACCCCTAGAAGGACAAATAAACAGATGGTCTTGATGGAGTGGAACTCAATTCAAATCACAGGTCTAGGAATGTCTAGTAGGTGTGTAGGACCACAGTATCATCATTAATAATGACATGGAGCTGTATAACTGCAAAGCAGAACTCAAATTTCCAGGACAGTGCCAGGTTAAGTGTTGATACAGCCCCAAGCTAGCTAATCCTTGGTCTCTGTTCTCTCCCAGCAGGGAAGAGAGAACAGCCCAAACCTGCCAAGTCATTTTACAGACCAGAGTCCGGCCTTAGTGGGGCCTAGATGTGGTTGCACCAAGCTGTGGCCAGGAACTAGGTGTTAAAAGCTATGGGGCCTGGGGCACAGGATTACCTGGGGCTGTTTCTGTCCTCACTGGCACTAGAGACAATTCTCTGGATTATGTTTAACCTAACTGGCTGTGAGAACACTTTCTAAATACTTTGAGTGGAATGAATACCTCTTCTTTTTTTCAATTCAAGCTTAGTATTGCCAAAAAGTGACCTTGGAAATGTCTTTTCTTTTAAAATGGAAGACCTAATTTACCAATGGTAAAGTTTGAGCTTGGTATATAGCTCAAACTTCTTGGGCTGGGCACAGTGGCTCACACATGTAATCCCAGCACTCTAGGAGGCAGAGGCACGCGGATTGCCTAAGTTTAGGAGTTCAAGACCAGTCTGAGCTAGAATGAGACCCCACCTCTAAAAATAGCAGGGCATAGTGGTGGGTGCCTGTAATCCCAGCTACTTGGGAGGCTGAGGCAAGAGAATTGCTTGGGCCCAAGAGTCTGAGGTTTCTGTGAGCTATGGCACCACGGTACTCTATTGGGGGCGACAAAGTGAGACTCTGCCTCAAAAAAAAAAAAAAAAAAATTCTTGGCAAAGTACATACTCAACGCCAATTTCCTATTAACATAAAGGGGAAAGGGGACAATCCTGGGGACTTACCCTCACTGGGTAGCTGAGTTACTCTAACACAGTGGTTCTTAACCTTCCTAATGTGGCAACGCTTTAGTACAGTTCCTCATGTTGTGGTGACCCCCACCCATGACAAGTGGTGTCTCGGTTTCCGATGGTCTTAGGCAACCCCTGTGAAAGGGGAAAGGGTCATTTGACCCCCAAAGGGGTCGCGACCCACAGGTTGAGAACCGCTGCCCTAACACATTAAACCTGACTTCTAAGACTCAAAGGAGGCAGGGCTGTTAGTGTTGTTCTTCCTCCCCTCCACCCCTGGCCAGACTTTTCTTTGTGGCTCTCAAAAAATCTCATTTATGGGTGGCACCTGTGGCTCAAGGAGTCGGGCACTAGCCCCATGTACCGGGGGTGGTGTTCAAGCCTGGCCCCAGCCAAACCTGCAAAAAAAAAAAAAAAATTCTCATTTTGGGAAGTCAAGCCATCCCCGGGTACATGGAGACCAGTCGTGACAAGCCAAGCTTTAGTCTAGCTGAGCAGCCCCAGGAAAGGTGCTCACCTCCACCGTATGGAGCCCAGGGTGGGGGAAGGTGGTGCTTTTGAGAAATGAAGAAGGCACGCTTTCAACTTTAAATACGTTGGTGGCATCAGCTGGAGGCTTAATTTCAGCAGCTTAATGTTTCACCCCTGGGAAGAGGAGCCAGAGTACCCATCTGCAGTCCTTGCTGCCTTCTCAGATCCACTGACCAGCCTGGTGAGACACTCCAGAATGCCCACACTGGCTGTGGGTTCTAGGGTAACACATGGCTCTTACAGCAAGGGTTCAAAACTTCCACTTTGGGGGTTAAGTAGTCTAAGAACCACACTTTTGGGGAGGAACAGGGTCCAGTTTGAGTAAAAGGCCAGTGGTTAAGGTCAGACAAGGTAAAGATGTACAATGCGAGTAATTGCTTTTGTTGAATTTATTGAAGTTGAGTGTGACCGCCAAAATTCCCGACTCATGACTCTGCATCTTATAGGAGTGAAATTAGGGTGGGCAGAGGAACAACTACGGTCTCTGCAGGCAAGACTCAAATAATCCCCATGTTCCCTGAACACTGGCCATGACAGGGAGGGCCAGTCAGGCACGACAGCATTCTGCAGCCAGAGGCTCTAGGCACCCCAAGTTCAGAGCTAACTTTGTGGACACTTAGGTGCACTGGGCAGATGGAAACCTCAGCCTCATCCATCCTTTCCCTGCTACCCACGTGGGTGACATCCATTATTCTCTGTGACACTCCACAGCAATATATCTAGATAGGACTTGTGAGTTTCTAGAATGGACACACTATAAAAATTTCAAGATACTGCCTAATTATTTCAAGATACTTTATTCTTAAAACAGGTCACAACACTAAGCTTTTGGCCCATTCTGCCACTGTACAAGCTACAAATGCTTGCTGAGCAGCAGAGGGGCGCTCTTTCATAGCATGTCTGAAAAGTGAATAAAAATCCATGTAAAACAAATATACAAATAGTTTCCATAGGAACACAGATAAGTGTGACCCCATCTCCTAATCTTACATATTGCTGCATCTGTGTCAACCCTACTCTTACAAAGACATTTCAAAACTAGCAATAATTAAGTTAAATGGTCCCCCCAAATCCCTTAATTCAAGCTAAACTCGCAGTTTACAGCTACAGAATGATATCTACACATTAATACTAGCTGAAGCACAAGTTGCTGGGTGACGTTTCATTCCACTTTCCCACGCACAAGACACAGGCAGAGTGCCAACATCCTGCTCTTCTACTTCGGGTAAATAGTCGGGGTTCTGGATTTGCTGCACAAGTTGCCTAAGGGAGAAAGAAGTAGCATATTCAAAAACCCAGAGTCATCCATAACTGGGTATGAGATTATTTGCTTCCCATCAGGAAGCAATTCAATATACTTCTAAGAGACAGCTCTTCAGAATTACTTTATTGGCACTAAGAAAACCACATGTCACATGCATTAACTTAAAATATTCTAGTTACACAGAAATAGCCTCAGGGAAGCTCAGTGAGTAAGGTGCCGACCCCATATACTGAGGGTAGTGGGTTCAAACCTGGCCCCGGCCAAACTGCAACAAAAAAATAGCTGGGCATTATGGCAGGCGCCTGTAGTCCCAGCTACTTGGGAGGCTGAGGCAAGAGAAACACCTAAGCCCAGGAGTTGGAGGTTGCTGTGAGCTGTGTGATGCCATGGCATTCTACTGAGGGTGACAAAGTGAGACTGTCTCTAAAAAAAAAATAGCCTCATCAGCATTTTCTAAAACTTTTCTTAGAAAAATGTGGGGGGTGGGTGGCACCTGTGGCTCAAAGGAGTACGGCACCAGCTCCATATGCCGGAGGTGGGGCACTGGCTCAATATACCAGAGGTGGTGGGTTCAAACCCGGCCCCAGCCAAAAATTGCAAAAAGAAAAAAAAAATGTGGGGGTAAAAAAATGGGTATTACTGGAGTGATTCACCTTCTATGTGTCTGTATTTAATCTCAGGCAAAACAATCTCTTATCTACTTAGACAAGAGCAAGCATAAATCCAAAGTGCCCATTCTTGCCAAAACCACACACATGCACCATCTCACTTACCACGTCGGTCCTGACATCACATAGTAGATAGTTGGCCTCTGGAATCCATTGAAAGTAGAAGCAGCAGCCACAGTGTAAGCACCCATATTTTCAAAGAGCATCCAGTCGCCTACATGCATTTCTGGCAGGTCACACCGCTCAACGATCCGGTCAAG